ATTTTTTACTTTTTTATATTATTTTTTTTAATTTATTTTTTAATTGATTTTTTTTGTGTGTATTTCACACAGAACATCCCAAACAATCTTACTTATCTTTATACCTGTATCCCAAATGGCACCCTCCCATAGCCCTCCCCTTCCCCACTGGAGCCCATATACTCTGTCATCCCTGTTACTGTCCACTGTGTTGTCAGTGCCCCAAGCCATTACCCAGTGCTTGTCCATCTGCTGAATCTAGTCAGCCTATCTAGAGTTCCGTGTTTTAGGAAGATCAGCTGTTCCTCATCTAGTAGCAATTAGTTGTCAATATTCCTTTAGATAAGATTGGGGTCTGCAGTTCATTTTCCCAGTTCTATGCTGGGTTACTGTCTGGGAGTCTCTTGGGCCACCCTGGCCAACAACTCAAAGGAAGGTATCTCCTGTCTGGCATTGTTTCTTGTTATGTAGCGTTTAGCTATACACATGGACTCAATGAATTATATTGATCACTTTAATATTTGGTTATACTTTCCTTTTGGGTGTTTAAGACCATGCAGTTACTGGCCCAGATTAACCAATTTATTTTTACTCTTATGGTCATTTGAGGATCTGTTCCTCAGTGGTCACATGGGCTTGGGAGGAGCCCCTGGCTCCCTTCTTTTACCAGTTCCATCTATGTGAAGGTAAGTCAAAGGTCCTACTCAACCATGGCTGGCTTCACTTGGAAGCATGGAGGAAAAGTCTTCTCTGTCCAACACACGAACCTTTTAAGATAGCACTTCATATACAAACCATAACCAGGAGTTCACCGTTGGAATATTTCAAGGGCTACAGTGGGGAGTGCTCTTCAGTTGTTGATGTGAGAGACAGAATCTGGAAAGTAGGAGAGTGTGGTGATATCTGCATGACAGGAACTTAAACAGCCAAGGATTTTAGAGAGAGCAAAAGGTGTGAAGTGATATAATTCGAGGTAAAGCTGGGAGGGCTGGGTTACTTGATGGAGAGGCTTGAATGTCAGGCTGAAGGATTTGGTGTATGGCAGGAGGTAACAACAAACTAAGAGTTTGAAAGCTGATATAGTAAAGAATGCACACTTGACAACTTACTCTGGGGGCTGGTGAGATGGCTCAGCAAGTGAAGGTGCTTGCTGTCAAGCCTAATGGCCTGAGCTTGATCCTTCAGACCTCCATGGTAGAAGGAGAGAACTGACTCCAGCAAGTTGTCCTGTTATCCAGATTTGCACTGTGGCAACTATACCCACACATGTAATTAAATAAACTTATTCCAGTGTTGGATATAATACAAAATAAGAAAGCAAGAAGTTGGAGGATGATTGGTAGGCCGCCATGTTAGTGGCTAGTAGTAAAGCAGGCCAGAGTTACGCTGTTCATGGGGGAAGACAGGAGACACTATCCATAGCATGGAAACTTTAAAGTACACATATCATGGTAAGTGATTTGAATGTATGGAAGAAGAGAACTTTGAGCAATCAGAGATAGTTCCCTGATTGTAAGTGTGAAGCATACTGGAAGAATGGCTGTACTTTTATTAATTAAACTGAACACATTCACCAGAGAAGCAGGTTTGCAAAGTAGAAAGAAAAGGTTGATTTTAGTTATTATAGAAAGGGTAAACCCTAAGTTTATATCTTGACCATACTGACTGTCTACACAGAGCCTTCAGAATGTTCTCCATGAAGTCATCAAGGAACTTAGCTACCTCACGAGAAACCGTCACAGCAGAACAAAGAGGAAGAGTGATGAACGTTGCATGGGCTTCTAAAAGGCCACCGAGTCAGGCTGGAACTGGCACGGGCCCATTTGCCTAACATTTCATTGGCCTGTCACCTCCTGTGAGGGAAAAGGGCTCCAAATTGCTTGTCAGATGTTGGAGAGCATTAACAATGTACAGTACAGATGTGCTGACTGTAAGCTCAATCCTTGAGTAGCACTGAGTACTGTGTATGTGAAACTGGTGGCAAAAAAATCTCTTTACCCGAATATTTAATGTGAAAAGCCCCACTGCTTATATGGGTGCTACATATGCAAAGGAACTGTGGGCTTTCGAGGCTTTTCTACTCTGAAAGCAAAGTATGCTTTGCCCTAAGGATGATATCACCAGTAATGGTGTACAGGAAGTACAGAAGCAAGAGGCTCATGATGTCATATCCTCTCCCACTGCTCATAAGACTTCCTGCAGTTTTCATGAGATGCTGCTGAATCAATTCCATTCTTATTCTATGTTACACCATAAACGTGTAGGAATTGTTCATATTCTAAATATTCAAAAAATACTGAAGAACATTTGGGGACACAAATTTGACTCAATAGACCTTAAAAAAATAAAAGGGGACACAAAGGCAAAGCGGTGGGGTGTAGTAAGGTGGGCATGGGAGGGAGGGGCCTGAATATGATCAAAATACATGGTATGAAATTCTCAGAGAATTAATAACATAAATAAAAAAGAAAGAAAGAACAATTTGTAGTATGTATGCTAAGTCCTGGGGTATTTCATTTTCTTAGACTATCTAAGCATGTCTGAGACATCATACATCATGGGAATGATGAGAAAGTTTGGGATAAATGTCCTTACATGTTTCCAGTTACATAAACATATGTATATACATATAGGGGAGTAATTTTTGTGTGTATGCATGCATGCATGTCTGTATGAGTGTGTGATGTATATATGTGGTGTATGTGAACATGTGTGTGCAGGTACACATGAAGAGGCCAATGGAGGGTGTTGAGTTTTCTCTCCAGACAGGGCAGACAGGTTCCCTCCCTGAGCTGGCGCTAGGCTAGTGGTCAGCAAGCTCCAGAGATCCTCCTATCACTCCCCTTGACAAAGCTGCAGTTACAAGTATACTTGGCCACACTCAGCTGCTTACATGGTGCTGGGCTTTGGAACTCAGGCTCTCTGGGGCATCAGGCTAGAAGCTTCATGGCTGTTGGCCAGTCTCAACCTTTGTATACTTGATGCCTTTTGAGCTACAAATACTAAGGAAATAATGCTGAATTTGTTTAGATGTTTCACTTAGATAAGAAATTGACGTGAATTTTACAATAAAATATGCACCGATCTCTGCTCTATGTAACATTCTTTCCCTCTCAAAAATCTCCCGTTTGTAAAAATAAGTTACAAGTTGGCACACCCTAATATTGAGCCCTGGGTATTGCTAGGCTACCGAGCATCAATTTTCTTGTTTCATTTTTGCCAGTTGCATTTTACCACACACAGTGTCCCTGAGTGTGATGCACTCATTAACATTTTGTTAGCATACTGGCCTTGGTGGCATATGCCTTTAATCCGACCACCCTAGAGGCAGAGGTGGGTGGATCTCTGTGAGTTGAAGGCCAGCCTGATCTACACAAGTTCAAGGCCAGTCAGAATTACATAGTAAGAACCTGTCTCAAAAGAACTTTTTGTTGTAAACATAAAAGATAGATTAAGGAGTTGAAATAAATGATAAAGCTAAGTACAAACATATCTAATACTTTCAAACCTAAATATAACTTAAAATTACATCATATAAATTCATTAATATTATTTCAGTTGTAGATATTATAAAGAGCGATGTAACATGCAATAAAGCTTTATTGAGGCTATTGTAGCACATTTTGACATGAGCTGAATCTGATACAATTTGAAATGCTGGTCTGAGTCTACTTTCAAGGAAGGAATGACAGTGATGGATCTCAAAGAGGAATCTGTATCCCCATTTATTTCAATATGCAACTAATAACATAAAACGCATCACACATATCTTTTCCTAATCTTAATACTCACTAAAAAACATAACATTAACAACAGCAATAACAACAACTTCTACAATTTGGAAAAGTAAGGCACGCTTCATGAAGGAAATTTTAATGCTCAAATCTTGTCTATGAGTCAGATTCTCACTAAGAATGAGATGGTCTGTTTTATTATTATTATTTCAAAGCACAAATCTATTTTTTAGGAAAAATAAGAAGACATGAACTTGGGAGGGTGACATATTAGGAGGGTCTGGGGCGAGTTGGAAGGGGAAAGGGAGGGTTGATATGAGTAATATCCATTGTATACATATATGGGATTCTCAGAGAATAAATACAAATACCACTTAAAAAGAAATGCTATAAGGTAGTATTATAGAAGTTTATATGAATCAATGTTACTTCCAAAGTTTGCCAGTTTATGGTCAGGAGAAGGCAGCCAGAGTCTCATTAAGTCAAAACCTCCTACTGTTCTGCCACAAATATCCAGGTAACTTAGCCTAAAAAACCATTGACATATACAGCAAAATTTTCAGGAATCTGCAGTCTTTTAATTGAAGGCATAATTAATAGAACACGGGTTCCTTTTGAAATACCATTGATAAAAATAGGACTGAGGTTCACCGAAAGCCTCTTCAGCAGAATAAAGGGCATATACACTTCATAAAAGCTCACTGTAGATAAGACTATGGAAATCCTCATGGGCACAAATTGCTTTTATACTTTAAAATAATCTCCTGGTAGCAGCAAGTACAACAAAGGATAAAACTAAAAAAAGTATTTAACTGAGTCAGAGAAAGATTTTACTAATTTATTTTGAAATGGCACCTTATCTTCAAATTTCAGAAATGCGGTGTAATGAAAGGATCGCCTAGACAGGTACCTAGAGTATCTGCTTTACTAATGTTCAAAATCAAAACTTTACTGTTAGCTGTTTGTGACTTGCCAAGTTTTAAGCTACCCTTGTCTCTTTTATTGGTAAACTCAGATCATAAAGTTATAGACAATAAAAAGGAATTTTTGAATGTTTCAGAAACAAATGTGTATCAAGAATATTTCATCTTTAGAGACACTGTCTTTATACTGTAACTTTAATTAGCACTACATTTTAAACAATTTCTAGCGTGGGAACTTGCACATACTGCTAACAAACATGGATCATGCATTCACAGTGGATGTGAAAAGGCACTGTTAAATTATTCTGGAAACCACTAAAGTATGTATACATAAATTCATTAGAGCCATAACGTATACTGAGCTCTATAGGAGTAAGTAATTCAGAGGTTCCTCTTTGGGGACCTCAGCTGAGCTCCTCTTGCCGTAGGTGTTTGATCCCACGTTGGTAGGGGGGAGGACAGGACCAAGGTTGTTGCTAGAACGAACCAGAAAGTTTGCCAGGCGTTGTGTGGCGCATGTGGCTGTGTTGCACTTTCGTTTGTCCATCTGATGGCTGATGCTGAACAAACAGGAAAGGTCAGAGTCTTAGAACCAGGATTAGAGGCAGCCATGTCAGCTCAACTCACTCACACTGATGCAGACTACGGGAAACATTTCCACAGAAGTCACTCAGTGTTTTGGTTTGCAAACATCTGTATGACAGACATTTCTGATACTTTGGACATGCAGCAGAATCAGTTTTCAACTGGGAAATCACACAACTTTCATTTGAGTCAAGATTGCCTTTTATAAAATACTGTGTAATTATTTCTTTGGAA